CCGTCTACGCCTTACTAAAGTCACCTGATTAGACGATTATCGCAAATTCAGTTCATCCGGGATCACGTTCTTTGAGTTAACAGTTTATCGTGAATCACAAGAGACGATACATTTTTGTTGCCATCGTCAACACACGAGGTGTATGACCGTCTTGGTCTTGTATTGTCCTGTAGTCACAAGGAGCCCTACTGAGACTCATAACACATCTGAAAAGAGTTGTTTGCATCATGTCGTCATTCTCATAGAAATTCTTAAGCAAAGCATGCATTTCTAAGAGATTTACACATGTTGCACTAAGGAACCTGGCAACTGATTTCAGGTATTTCTTGACAAGAATATACGTTCTTAAAGATCAGTTGCTAGGCTCTACATCAAATTATGTAAGTAAAAAATGAACATCATTTCGGTTAGAATCATCCTCGTTGTGTAGATTCAAGTACAATTAAACGTTACACACACTCAAGTTTACTAGCTGATTATATGAATAGATCTGAATTTCCATCAAACAATGACTTTAAATGCAGTTGAATTTATTTGCAAATAAGTGGTAAATCATCTCATTATAAGTTCACAAATATACGCTAATCATAACTATAGTAATAGTGAGAGTTTAATTACATTAATCAAGTTAAACATTTTGAAATTACAGTGTAATGTTACGCATAAAATTGATTACCAAAGATAGAGATGTAGAGAGAGAGAGAGAGTTTACGTTTAACTGATAGTATGACGAACTTTGAACAATCTGTCAGTCACTTTATCACATTATTCTAAACAGTTAATAACATAAAAACATTGGAATATATATATATCATTTTAAAGCTTTTTAATCAAAGATTTGTATTTATTCCATGAATGTCAGAAAACAATTAATTAACCATCCATATTTTTTATCATTATGCTACTTGTTCTTATTCCGTATTCTAAAAATGTTTTACATATTTAGATTAGTAAACACCATTAAGTAAAATGAATCTAAGTTATTACACTTCAGTTGAAAAATACGAAATGGTTTTTAAAATTATATCTCTGTTATTATAAATTCTTATAGGATGTTTTGTATTGTATTTATTTTAAGTTAATAATAATAACATTAGTAATAATACCATTTAATGGTAACACAGAACGAATTATTCACTTAAACTTCATGATAAGAATGAATCTACAGAAAATTGTAAATTGTTGTAGAGTTGGACATATAATCTAAGGCTAAAATAAAAGAATCGATTGAGAGCAAAAATTCAGTTTTGTAGGTAGTGTACGTCAAGAACTGACTTCAGTTAGAGAAACATGGAAAGTCAGGAAGCATTAAACAACTGTGATGTGTTAGATTAAAATTTGCTTGCCAAATGCATTTCCGACTCTTCCATTGGATAGAACCTAGATCTTTATGTTCTCGGTGTAGGTGTAATATATTTTAGTGAAGAAATCGGACTGCAATGAGAAATTATCCTCTATGAATTTATGTCACTGGATGACCAAAACACCGTTGCTGTACTAATTGTCAGTGGTGTGAAAAAAGAAGTCAAAATGTGAGGCATTATGAAGACATATGTCTCAAATGATCACTGAGCAGGCATCTAGTGGTGTTAATGTCTAACTTCAACCACGGAATTGCGCCACCGTCCACTATTGTCTTCAGTGTGATATGATCTCACAACAGACCCGGTTGAACTCCAGTGGTCACAACTTCTTACTAGAACTCCAGGAAATACCTCTTGAAGCCAGTCACTAATGAGCAGATGATGATTATTATCACAAGGGGGGTTTTGTGGAAATTGTAGTAATTTAATAGTTGAGTTCATGAGTCGATCAGTGGTCTAGTTTTAATCGACTCATGAACTCAACTATTAAATGAATATATGTTGGTGACCAGATCAGAATTCGAGAATAACAGTTAGTTTGTGATTATCAAATGCAAAAGTTTTAAAAAGTTCGTATTTGCTGGTCAGGGATAAAATAAACAGTCCCTTAGAGAATATGGTTTACTTGAAATGATGCATCAACGTTCCCTGAATTCATAGGCTGATTTTATTTTGGATAATGGTTAAAAGTTATGTCGAGAAATTGTTTGAAATTTTCCAGCTAAAAGCGTTAACTTTTACAGTCGCTCAAAAAGTACTCACTGATTTAAACTATAGAATTTCTTCACTAAGCTGTCGAATTCCACTTATAGCTAACATTATAGAACTACTCAACTAATAAACACAGAGAACTTTGAGATACTTATTTAAGTGATTTTTGAGCAAATGGAAACTGATTAACCTATTTCTGAATATTAGAAATTGGATTTCTAAAAATGCTTACAATTAATAATAAATAACATATTTGTCAAACAAATCGGTGTCTTGTGTGACTCGGAAACCAGGTGGATATCTGATTTAAGTCTTAATGGTTTGGATCATCCAATCGTTGATATATTTATTAAATTTGGTCTTTCTTGGTTCTTATATGTGAGTCCTGTGCGGATTTCCTTGATATAGTAATTATGACAAATTCATGTAGAATAGATGGAATGTACGTATCATCAGGACCTAGGATGTACATTTCGTCCTATTTTTGACTCGTCAACTGAGTGCACCTGGTTTTCAAAGTCGATATTCATCTAAAGAATCCAACCCAGAACCGTCCACTTTAAACGCCAACACGTTATTCGTTTAGTAACCGAGTATAGGTGACCACTCCACTTATGAACGCGTATGAACTCTAACTCAATTTTTAATGATTTAAATTGCACCGTTGTTGATATCTGCACAGTTCCAGATTGGAGTCCTGGAGTGAACACCAACTCTGGGATACAGTTACATCCAACTAATGACTCCCAAATGGAACGAAATAGTTTTATCAGTACTGAATAATTTAACTTTTATTTAAGAAATCAAATGTATACACATAGATAATATTTCAATATTTTTTTTTCTATCAAATATTTTCTTTGATAAATTGTGCATCAATTTATTTTCTAGTGTATTAAACTAATAACAAAAATGTTTGTATACTATATACAAATTGAAGTAACTAACTCAGTGGATTGTTGATTTATATCTGGTAATGCTGATAATATTGATATCCTAGAGATTGTCATTCATAGTGTTCAGTTATATCTTACAGCGTTCGTCATAGTCGGAAATAAGAACAAGATTCATAAGCGATGGTGTCAGTGCTCTCATTTAGATTCATTTCGAGTTTAACTCTAAAATACAGACACATTTATGCACTTGTATGTAGAACAGTCATCCGAATTATCCAACTTATTATAGTAAGCAATAAGTGAATATTGGTAATATAATTAAAGACATAGTAGTAATCATGAAAACAGCATGAGAGAGTGGAAAAAACATTTTATTTTTAGATGTTACGGGTTTGGGGATCATTATGTGTTATTCGTAACCTAAAATATAAATATACTTAGATAAATGACTTTTTTAATTTTTAACTCTGTTCACATAACGCTATCACTATTATTTTTTATAAACTTTATCAGAAGATTGTAGATGATTGCATTTGACCATGCTTGACGATGCATTTGCTAGATTAAATGTCAGGTAACATATTATAGGTTATTAGTACAAGGAGCCTATGACAGCATTTGTTTATGACGTAGTCTTGTGCCCTATTAATATGTAACGTAATGATTTCACCAATTAGAAAACATTGTATTATCGACCGGACGAATGACGCGTAAACCAGTACAAGCAGTTTAGAGTCTTTATCGATCCTTATTCCTGCCTAACCCTGTCTGTAAGTCCAGAACACCAATCTCAGCCTCCACGATATGAATCGTGTATTTCAAACATACTGGACTTATATATAAACTAAACAGACCACATCGTATAGTAAGACAGAAAATAACATTTGTACAAGATCTAGTCAAATGTGTCTGTGAATGTGGGAAACTGTAATTAGTAGACTGGGATTAATTTATTAATGGTAAATCGTATAATGATAGTCTATGGGTCAAAATAAAGCTTTTAATAAGAGGAACGTGAATATACATAGTTTAACTACTTAATAATTTTACAATAAAAAATATATATATTGCATTGGTCCATAAATAGTTCTCAAGAGTTACCATTCATAATTTTCGTCGGGATATAACAGTAGGAGTTCATCCAGAACCAGGATACAACTAAATATTTGTTATTATAAAGAATAATAACAGTAATCTAATTGAAAACGCTTAGATAGTGTTCATGAATCAAAGCATTAGTAGGTAGTACTATTTTCTTAACTTCTAACACTGAAAAATAGCAGTCTCTAATGTCAACTATGTAAAAATATAAACCTTCATATATAACTTTGTACTAAACGAACGAGTTAAAGGATCCAGCAAATCGGTGGTTAAGTTTGAAGTTTTTTTACAATAGATGCTGTGTTCAAATCTGGAAGCGGACATCAGCAACGTGATTCAAGTGTCTCAAATTGAACGAAGCAACTGTCTTGGATTCCGCCAGTAAACACAATTCAAATATACTATAAGAAATTAAATTGCACTATAAATTAATAGTAAAATGGTCCAACAAAGATCAATTGGAAATGTTACATAACCATCATTAGTTTTCATCAGTGATAGCTATGGTAATATTAGATCTCATTAAAAACTCCTTGAGTTGAAACTACACAATAAAACTTTATGACCGCTTTTCAAAACAGGTTGTTAACAAGTACGTGTTTTTTACTGTTCTAATTAAAATCAATCTGTTGCGTAAACTGTAAACTCAAAATATCCTCATAAACCCTTCAGCAACAACAAAAGCTATTGTTTTTTTTGTTATTTCATTTTAATTAAAGTGACTTAAATACATTCATTATGAAAAAATCAGTATTTAAAACTTAAATAATGATTGTTTAAATGATTAAATAAATTAACAGATTCTTGAAAGACTTGATTTTTGTTTCTTTAAAAATAAAAGAAAAGAATATTACTAATACAAAATAATTAAAAAGAAAATACACAATTATCAAATCATTATTACAATGTTGTGTCTATAAATGTATCTGTTTATTTAATTGGATAATTGAATGTTTTTATTCTCACGTTGATTATAACATGTTTGTATTGGAAACAAACAACAAATACAAAATACACTTTTTAAAATATTTTCATTGATTGCATAATAGAACACAGTGATATATATCTAATCACTATGCATATTTCATGTAACCAATGGAGTAAAATAATAAAATACTTAGGGAATATTATTTAAATATTAATGAAATTAAGAAATAGATAATTAATTATTTATAGATTTTTAAATAAACTCGGTAATTCAATTAATTCTATTGAGCGAATTTCTGTTCCATACAACAACTACATGGTTTAGCTAATAAATGAAAAAAAATAAAAATAAGAAAAAAAAGAAAAAAAGAAAAAATAAAGAAAGAAAATTCATTTGAACAAATTTAATTGAATGAATATGATAAACTTGTTTTTTTTCTTAATAATTTCTAATTGAATTTTATATGATTCAATGTATAGTTCAATGAAGATTTTATTGATATATTTTGATATAATATAAAACAATTAAAGTTAATCGATAAGAATTCATGGATTAAAGTTTTGATTTTGTTAATAATTATCAACTAGAAAGATAATAAAACTTTCAATTGAATTTGAATTAGGTAGCATTTAATATTACTATCAGAGAAATGATAACAAAAGGTATCTAGGTAATAATTGATTTTTTTTTACACAAATGGATACTAACACAAAATCCGCCTGTAGCTCATCTAGAGTTACTGCCGGTCCCAAGTCCGGGTAAACGAGGAGTGTTGGGCATGGGGTTAGCGACCCCATCCCGTAGAAAACTAATTCGCTAATCAGAGAAAATAATTCAAGCAGATACTAACACTAATCAATTAATGAGTAATAAAAGGTATCATGTTGTTGTTAAATGGATTCTTTAGATTGTTGAATATTTGGTCATATACTGATTTATTATTTAGATTGAGTGAAACTGATACCAAGTTAATTACAGAAGCGCGAAACATTCGTTGGAATTATAAAATAGATGTGCTAATACTGATGGATAATTAGCAATGTGAGTTATTTCATATTACTGAATTAATAATATTTGACTGATATGATAATGAAATTCATTTCTTATAGATAATTTACGTGATTAAACATTCTAACACTAAATGTACCAATTTGTAGTAATTCACAGTAAATGGATTTGATTCTTGGTTAAAAAAGTAAATGTGATTTCATAAATAGTCAGCTTTATGTCATTTAGTGTCATAATAAACTGGAATTCAATTTTATTTGATGTTAAAACGTAACATAGGTACTTTTAGACTTGCCTAACTGGAAAACTTTCAAAACAAATCGTTGTATTCAGTGAAACGCATCCATGTCATACACTAAGTAATGAAGTAATATCAGTGCATATTGCAGCAATAATGGCATTTTTCATCGAAAAGAGGCAATAAATACTCTCTTTCATGTAAAGATCATGTTGTATAAGGGAGAATAAAAAAAGTCATGGAATCAACAGTGGTGAGACCATAATTCATAGATGACCTTTGATAGACGCTTAATTGCCTTTGAGAATGTCCACCTACTGAATAGGGATAAATGAGGGTTTTAAACCTGTATGTAGGATAAGGATTGTGATTTACAGTTGATTTTTGGGGATAGAGATTAGATTTAGGGTTTTTATCACAAACTGACATAAGCTAAAATGCCAAATGAATGAATAAAATCCAAGACCTGTTATTGTAAATCTGATTAATTCGTTCATAAATTATAGTCTCGCCTAAACAGATTTTTCAAACGATGGAATTTCAAAATAAAAACTAAAATTTCATTTACAGTCGCATTACATAATGTTTGAAATGGGATGACCTCACAAATAAGTAATTATCACATTATAAGTAAAAGCCGTAAACAACAGAAGTCGAATAAAAACGTTAAATTTATTTTTATACTCATACCTTAATACACTAGTTAAATATTCGTATAACAATTTTCAAACAAGTATTATATAGAAATGAGAATGAAAGAAGTTAGAATAACCCATAGTGTCATTGAATAAGAAAAAGACAATTCAGCGAAGAAAATTTTCTTTTCGACGAAATCATTTACTTAAGCTGTACATTCGTATAGATATAGTTCTGTGGAAAATGAATGTCTATGGGAGGACAGAAAAATTTGTATCACTAAAATGGGTTCGAGGATAAATAACAAATGAGGTCACGTACTAATCAACAGGTAAGGAATAAAATCGTTTATTGGGTCAGATAATAGTCCAATAGATGAATATGAGGAAAAACCACAAACATAGAGATCATAATAATAAACTGAATAATAATCATGAGTCAGTTGAAGCTAGACCACCATAAAAAACCTGGAAGCACTGGACGGCCGTCCCGTCCTAGTATGGGACTCCTCAGCAGTGCGCATCCACGATCCCGAACCCCGCGGGATTTTCCATGGTGGTCTAGCTTCAACTGACTCATGATTTCAATCTGTGAAAATTTCTAAAATCTCCACAAACCCCTTCTGAATAATAATCAACAAAACTTGTATGAGATAATAATAATAACTGATTAGGGTTTAAAATGCAAAATAGTAATTTTAAAATTTAGATAATAATCAAATAAAAGTGCAGAAAAAAAACAAAAACAAAAACAGAAACATACCCATTAAGGGAATTGGGGCCAAAGAAGTCTATTATTATGACATTTGTGTTTGTCTCTTTTCTTCATATTTGTCAATTGAACTATTATCTGACCCAATAAACGATTTTCTTCCTTACCCCATTTGTTATTTATCCTCGAATCCATTTTTGTGATGCAGATTTTTCTATCCTCCAATAGACATACATTTTCCATATAACTATATATACGAATGTACAGCTTGAGTAAATGATTTCATCGAAAGGAAAATTGTCTTCGCTGAATTCTCTTTTTCTTATTCAATGAAAGAAGTGTTTATAACCATACAAATCAATTTTAAGCTCATTTAAATGAAACCAACATCTAAATTAATATGAATTGTTCTTTTTTCTTAACCTCTTTACATAAATAAGAACTATGAAGTTATGAATTAATAGTTATCAATAAGGTTCCAAAATTTTAAGGAAGATATTAAAACTTTTATATTGTAATTATAACAATGTTAAGGAATAGAAAAAGTAAATCACTTTGTCTATTGATGAAAGGCCTTAATTAATAAAATGTAATATATCCAGTTTATTTACAAAAGACATCTATACAAACTGATTGACTTATAGACCCTAGTTATGATAATATTAAGATAAATCATTAGCACAATGTTCGTTTGCTTTAAAGAATTTTACAAATTCCTTTTAAAATGATTTAGGTCATTTTTAATTACATACTCATTCCGTTTATTTCGGGAATACAAAATAAAATTGGATTCAGTAAATACAGTTCTTCGGCTCTAACAGCGACAAAATAATGACAAAAAAGCTCTAATTTTCACCCTGATTTCAAATAACAGGCATGTGGATTTTGATTAACTGTATTTTGATACTTCTATTTACTATCACAGTTTCATGGAAAAGCATTATAGACATCTAAATTGTTAACAAAGGTACTAACAATTCTGATTGATTGAAAAACCTATAAACTTGACAAACAATTCATGCTTAACTAATGTTTACTGTTGCTATAATTTATACAGTACAAAGCAGGCGAAAATTAATTGTAATCGATTATTTGTCAAATGGATAAGCTAATACTAAATACAGATTGTACATATTTCAACAAAAGCTCTAATAATGTAATTTTCATATTTTCCTTTATTAAACAACTTTTGATCAATATAATAGATCAGAAAATACTAAAGTATATTTATCTGCAATCAAAACAACGAACTCCTTTTATAGTTAAGACTACCGATACATGTTCGAAGTAGACTGGTATGCTTTCTTATATTATGTCCCAGTTACTCTTATTGCTTAGTATTCTTACACACTGCTTCAGTCGATAAGTCCCGAAATCAGAACACGGTTAAACAGGAATGTAATTATATTCCAAGTAGACAAGGTTGAATGGAAGTAGGAATAACAATATGGTAAACGTCAGTATATTTATAATTTCTACATAATATTATGGAGTCTTCTCTAGGTATTCGCTAGCGCTGATTAGTTAGAAAATAGCCAATCAGCGTGCCCCAACACCATCTTTCACGAAACATACTTTAATCCAATCTATATCGCACTAACATAGCTTGATGACAAATTGCATAATTTTAATTCAACTGAAATGTCTCTAATAATGTTTACAGTTTTAATTAATCCATTCAATAGTAACTCCGATAAAATATCATTTAATTAACATATTATGAATGAGGGATTTTATAGCCTCAAATATAATTTTATTCATAGAAATCTGGCCTAGTTATCATAGTATAAACCATTTTTCTATATTAAGTAAAATCATTCCTAGTGGTGTTAACTGAAATTCTGACCATGATCGTGTTTGATTTTCAATCACTGCCAATAGATATGGATTTTTATAGTCTCTTTACCCATACCTTTGAAGTGGACATAATAATCGGAGTGGTGTTAAAGAATTTATTAATGAGAGAAACTTAGAAGATATGGGTTTCCACAGAATAAACCATTACACTATCAAATGCTATTCACGATCAAAGTGTCCAATTATTGCAAAACTCGAATAGGATCGTAAATATGGTAGGAGGATTTAGAAGCTCTTACGTAAACTTCAGTTTTAAAACTAGATAATAAAGTGATTCTTCTTTAAATAGATAAGGTCTCGTCATTCAGTCACGTGATTTTACTAAATCCAAAATAATGAAGTAGTAAAGCATGAGTTCAGAGATAGATATCATGTAGTAGGGAATACAAAGCACTAAAGTTCTTTGACTTTTTATTTACATTTGAGATTTAGAAGAGTTTATGTACTCTATATTGTCTATTTCTCCAAGTTATCCATTTAGTTAAAGCCAGATATATGGTAGCATGGAGGTCGATGAGACCTCTAACTAGCCGGTTTGCAAATATTTGAAAACTTTTTAAGACAAAAGTCATTTGTTTTGTATTACCTATTGTACTTATTACAATCAGAAAGTCTATGTATTTTATTGGATGTCAATAGGCACAGAGTGATACATACTATATAGTCTTCATTGACGATTGGACTTAATCAATAAAACACGTTAACATAATTAAACGTATGATAAACCAAAAGTTGGTATTATGCAAAAATGCTTAGTGAAAATGAATTGCAGTTGGAAATCGATGGTCCAGTAGGAAACCAATCGCTGTAAAAATGACTAGATTTTCCGATTTTCCATAAATTACAACTTTGAAATTTGAAAGGTTATGACGTGAAAATTTACCAATCGACATAAATATGGACAAAGTCTGTTTGTTAATGAGTTTGTTAACTTGATGACCTCTTAGATAATAATTCTAACAACTAAAACACGTGGCGAAGGCAATCGTACTGTTTTTTATCAGTCTTTGTTCTGTAAATGGTAAAAAGGGAGATGTTATTGTACACCTCGCGAGAAAAAGTTTTCCTTTTCAAGTTGCTTTGAACAATAAATCTCTTATTTTTATTACAATTTAATACAACATCATTTTAATTGTACGGGTTTGAATCCCCCATTATTGATATTAAAGGCCAAGATTTGATCAGTCTATTTTCTTAATGTATGTACCTTAGACGGATTGCCTAGAAATTGCCACTACGACACAAGTTTAAAAGTAAAGTTGGATAGTGGCTGGTAGTGGAACTCAAAATGAACATTTCGAATAACTTAAGACTTGTCAACTGAATGTGCCTGTATTCCCAGTGTCAGTATTCACACCGAAACTTCAACCTTGTATAGTGTGTTTCGTGCGCATGAAGCATTAACCACTGAGCTACTGAGTTTTGATAGTTACTGGCTTATGCCTCAGTGACAAATTTCATGTTCGTATGTAAGAATAGCTCAATTAGTAACGCTTTTGGCGTTAGACACGAAAGATATTGGATTTGCGTTTTAATGTTTTTCAATGCTAAGTGAATATGTACTGGTTGTAATAAACCTTTAAAATGACTGTATACAACAATAATTTACTGTTTCTTCCTTCAGTCAATCTACATAACTGCTTCACTAGTATTAGGAAAATATTTATCGAGAGATTTTTGACTGCACTACTTGTAACTAACCAGTATGTTTCATTTAAAGTTCTGAAAGTATTAAAAAGTAATTATAGTGGTATATTATCAATGCTATTTGATAACCTGAAGAGTTTTGTATCTAAACAAACAGCCAACTGGTAACTAAATTGTTTAGATTACTGGTGACAACAGGTTTTATGCTATAGTTCATACATATATTTGAATATAATCGATCAACTTTTAGATCTAACAAGAATTATAGATGATGATATTACTACATAGTCTGATACAAGATGTTTTAATGTATAATTTGAATGACTCAACAAGATTGTTTTTGAATTTAGTGATGAGAAATTTAACAGTGAATTTCAGTGATAGAATACATTTATTCTGATCATTACTGTTGATTAACTAATAAAAAACAGATCCTCTGGTTGCATTATTTCATTTATTGATATCAAGGGCAAAACATAATTCGTGATACATTGAAATTTACCTTAAAAAAGGATATTTCATGACGAACACAAAATGTCATCCTTAATATTTTGTTACACTTCTTGACCTTAGTAATTTACAAATAACATAATATGATGTAATTAGCTTAGTGAAACAAATTACTCTTCTATAGAAACACGTTTTTTTATAGTAACCTAACACTTAGATTATTTGGCTCATTTAAAATTACTCCTTAATTTTATGTAGTCAAGCACGTTTTCTATCATTTGACTGTGAAAAACAGAGCTTAGTTTTCCAATGTCAGTCAGAAATAAGATTAAAAAAATGAACGTAGAATTAGACCACTCGTTTGCATAAAGGTTAATTTATTCATTCAGATATTCATATAATAAGCTACATATAAAATATATGAATAATAATTATGCAAAGGGATATATACTATGTTTGTAGATCTTTCGAAAGTGAATAACACCCAGAGAAATGTCACCAAGATCCAACTCAATGACTGATTCATTTGCAAAGAAATTTCTGAGCAAAATCTTCATACAGCCCAGTAATTATTGTTCCCAACTATTCTAATATTAATTCAAGCTAAAACTGAATTATACTAAATAAATGTTTGTCTGCATTGAGTTGTTAGGGTACAACCACACAAAAAACCAGTTACAAAAGAAAACCTTCATTTTATTGAGCATATCATAAAGATATTTGTGAAGCTGTTAACAACAATAGTCGAGTAAATGTAGTCTATTAAAGTAGGGGATTTTCTTGAGGTTTCTCTAGCGATGAGCTTAAATGAACTAACCCGGACGCTTGATACAGAATCAGAGTTTTAAATGACTTTATTTCAAAGTTAACCACGATGTATGAAAATGCTTCTAAAATCTAAATAAAATATCTCCCTTGATGAGACGTTGTGCTTTATGGATCATTAGGTAGAAGTTACAAGGAAATAGTGAATTATTTCACATTGCTTGGATATACACTTTACAATACCCCATGTATTAAAGATAGTATTTTAAAGTATTGAAAACTAAATATTAAATATGTTTCAAAAATGTTTGACAGTTCAGAAGTTATTTGATACTCCAAATATATCTACATTACGAGTAAAATGGGAATTGACAACAATAATAATGGTAACAACTAGGTATCTCTGATAATTAACTATTTATGAACAATTATGAACAGCTTCTCACTGTATCGAAACTCTATGATCACTTTTCGCTTCTGTTAATTGGACTAATTTATGGTCGATTTAGAATTTCCGGGCATAAAACTGATTGGATTCGATGCGAACAAATTTTAAGTTTTATCTTTCATAAGATAGTATGTACTATTATCGTGGTTTGTGC